AAATGAGGGAATTAATGCTCTTAACTAGATGGCAGCACCGCTTGAAAACGTTTTTAATGTTAGCCGTTGAAAAATGTAGGGAATTTATAGGGAGTCTATAATAAATTCCCGATAAACTCCAATAAACTCCGGGAATATTCCCATGATTCCGTTCCCACTCCATAAGTTTCTTATCCCTATACACACCCACGGATAGAGTGCACGTTATTTGTGTACAACTGACTGACAGTCAGTGAAAAGTTTGAGATAAAGTTTTTGCAAATGTAAACACAATTTATAATTACGATTACTTTTGATTGTGTTTAGCGATTGGTTAACATTAGGTACGCTATGAGTAGCCAAAAGTACCAGGTGCTAAATCTGTATAAAACGGTAAGTGTGCACACATGCATAAAATGTACTAGATTAATAATATGTTGTCTTTATTTCATTACATGAAAATTTCATAACTAAATGCTATGGCATTTGTATTATGCAACTTCCCATTTATTATAACGGGGTGTTTACTCGTGTTATGCAATGAATACACTAATGGTATGATTGTTGTGTACAATATAGTTGCTATACATGGGTCGGGAGTACCCGTTGGGGTACCCGTACTTCAGAGACCGGTGTCACAAAGCGTTCGCCCGAAACCGCACAGAAACCGATGTCCAGACCATCGATCAGATGATCAAAAGGGGAGAGTTTGTGGTGAAAGAGATCGAAGCCCTGTATCGGCTCAAGAAGTATAGGACACTCCGGAAGCGTTACTATAAGCACGAGTTAGAACCCGACACCGATAGCACCGCCTGATCTGATCCAATGGACGCTAAGAGTTTTGTGGTAAAACTCTTGTGATAATAAACAATGCGTTTTTGTTTTTCACTTTTTATTTAATTAGTTTTTAATTATATTAATTGTAATTAAATTGTAAATTGTTTTTAAACATTTGTTTAGTTAAATCTCGTTATAAAATAAATAATTTCTACAATTTTTTTAATTAAAAAACGGTAAATGACTTGTTTTAACTCGTTTTTTAGTTTTCGATATATATAAATACAAACACACTTTGCGGGCCAACTCTTTCGTAACGTAAAAAATAATTATAATAATAATAATTAAAACAAGAAAAATATATTTATATATTATATAAAGTAATTTCAATCAAAAATATCATTAAATAAGAAATCCAATGAGTTTTGTGTGGCTTTTAAATACATTATTACTTATTGTTATCATTATATCTATTGGCAAAGACTCAGTGCCTGATAGAGGCCGGGCTCGAGTGTATGGCGAGATCGGCTGAGCGCAGGTTCGGCGGCATTGAGGCCTGGATTATGGCCACTGTGTCGTCGTCGCCGCTGATGGCGCCGATGCCGTCATCGGACCGGTTGTCAAACTCTTCAATTATGAACAGCACTTTCGGTGTAGTCATCGATATTTTCTGGTCATTGGGAACAACAAAACATTATTATTCATTAGACAAACATTTTCCTCTCAGAGAGAGAGAGAGAGAGAGAGAGAGAGAGAGTCGCCGCTCCAGACCCTCGGCCGACGACCTCCAGCCCCGCACCCCGTGATAGACAGTCCCGCCGACCGCTCCTATCATATACCCGACCCCACACTCGTCCACTACACGCCACGGACACGACCGGCGGAAGTAGTCGTCCATTGGATCACTGGATCAGATGTCTTGACGGTGAGTGACTTTGAGGCTCCGGTACAACACGAGCACTACCGGCGCTGACAATAAGTGTCCTTAAAGTGTGGTTTCAATGGTTTTTCGCCACAAAAATCAATCAAAACATTGGCCAAAAACTGCGATACTGTTCACACATTACGTGACAATTTGTAGTTATTTATGAAGCCCTTTACAGTTTGAAAGCAATTAGTATTGCATTGTTTGGTATTATAATAATCCCTACAATTATTGTCACTGTATTTGTGAATTGGCCCCGATTTGTGGGGACAACAAACACACAAATTACGTGCATTTTATTTACAAAACGTCAGTTTTAGTCCACACAAGTTGTCTAAAACTACCGGCGCTTAAGTGTTTGGCCACTAATTGTCTTTCAAGCGATGGTAATAATCACCACCAAAACGGGTGATACCGGCCATAGGTTTGCACTCAAAAACACAAGTCATTTAAAATTATACCAATGAATGAGAGGAGGGATTGTGGGTTGAGGTACGGGTGCGAGTGGTGAGCACAGGTATGCCATTTAAAGCATCAATTAATGGTTTACAAAACGAGTGTTTGTTTTTTGTTGTAATAATTAATTTAATCTAAAAAATATGTTTTTGTAATTTTTAAATACAAAATAATTTGTAAATCAATTGTAAAGTAATTAACAATTATTGAGAGGAAAGACAAAGAGATTTCAAAACGAAAGACATTACAAAAGAATCATTTCGAGTCCAAAATATAAATGAGACAAAAAACGTGGTAAACATTTCTATAAATAATTAAAATAATTAATAAATTATAGCTTCAGATATAATTCCCGTCCAAATAGAGAGATTGTGTCCAAGAAATTAAAACTTGTGGTCATTTTGTGTGTGTAGTTGTGTTTTGATCGATAGATGCCTTCATAGGGAGTGTGTTATAAGTTATATGTATTTAATTACTATTGTGTAGACATTGGAAGTGGGAGTGAGAGAGAGTCACTCACTCACTACCCGCTCATAACGAGGCGCACGAAGTCCTCGTAGTGGACATTGCCCTGAGAGTCCTCCTGACCCGCCAACAGCTGTTCCACTTCATCGTCGGTCAACTTCTCGCCCAAAGTGGTCAACAGGTGTCGCAATTCGGCGGAACTGATATACCCGGAGCCGTCTTTGTCGAAATGGCGCAGACCTTCGATGAAGTCTTCGGCCGTATCGGTGGACCTGTTCTTCGATATGGTCTGCAGTATCGGTAGAAACACTTCGAAACCGATTCGTTCATCTGTTCAATACATAAGTCAAGACATAAGTTAGTGAACACACAGTTTGGGATCAATTGAGGCGATGGACACACGAACCGGGTTTCAACTGATTGGAGCACTTCTTGACCTCGCCTTCGGTGGGGTTCTGTCCCAACGCCCGCAACACGTCTCCCAACTGCGAGACTGAGATCTTGCCGTCGCCTCTGTTGTCGAACAGAGAGAACGCCTCTTGAAATTCTGCATCACATCCAGAGGAATGACATCCAATCGAGCGATACATAGAGAATATGAGATAATCAGTGGTAATCTTGTAATCATTCAAATGTATGGTTAAGTGATTAGTAGTTTTCCACTCATGAGTGGGACAACATCGGCGGCCATCGCGTTCACCACTTCACTCACCCATTATCTGATCCTCGCTGTAGTTGGCCTTCAGATACAGACAAACAGACAATGAGATTATAAATGTTATAAATTATATGCTTATTATAAATACCATAATGTGTTTAGTGTTGAATGTGTTTTGGAAATGGATTTAAATGAAATACAATTCAATTGTAATCACAATAACAGACACTAAATGTAATGCAAAGCCAATGAATGTCAACAACACCTGTAATTCAAGCCAAATGTGGTATACGTTGGGTCCGCACACAGACAACGTGTCCACCCATACAAACACACGGTGTTACACACCTAGTGATATTAAAAAAGGAGTTTATAAAAATAAATGCCTTGTCGGGAACATTCCCAGTGGGAATATTCCCGATAAATTCCCACTAAAATGAGGGAATTAATGCTCTTAACTAGATGGCAGCACCGCTTGAAAACGTTTTTAATG